CAGCTGGAACTAGCATTTGTATGGCCATACACTAACACAAATCAGAAAACAGATTGAGCTGAAAAATGTTTTTTTCTGACAGATCAGATATTTGATCTATCTTGCAGTGTGGCCGCACCAATGCTTCAGCTAATAGATTATGCAAAAAGGACGTTAAATACATCCTGTTCTGCTGCCTTATTATTAAGGCAATCACTGGCAGACAGCCGAGTTAAACATCTTAAACTGCTGTAGTTCAGTTTGCCAGAGCATGTCTACCAGACCTCTCAGCAAGAAGTAATTTTATTAAGAAGCAAATATTTTGCTTAAAAAAATACCACACAACTCCTCAGCTGCAGTCTTCAGCCCCAGTTTAGGATGGCTCTAGCCAGCTGAGTGAGTCTTCCTGTGAATTAATTTCCCAAATCGTGGTACTGTATAGGTGTGCTACCTTACGTGTAAGCCTCATAGTACTCTGTAACAAAGCTCTGTGCAACTGATGCTGAGTAATTGACAGGTACTTCACAGATTATCTGAACTAATCTTTAGCTACCTAAAACACAAGTGCTTTCCTAGAATCAGATGCCTATATAAAGACAGTAAGCTAAGACTTGTTACTACATGCTGAATTTACTGCCACAGACTAAAGGAATCAGTTCATTAATTGCAAAGATTTTTGGAAGGTAGTCCAGTGAATAACAACAGTTTGTTACCTAATGAAGTCAAATATTCCTGCTAACTAAAGCATATCAACAGTTCAATGAAAGCTGAGATAAATAAATGCATACAAAGTTGATTTCTGCTTCCTTGGAATCTTATGATATTATATATGCTGCTCGGCTCCCTTATCTTCATGACAGTTCTCTAGTAATGTTTTGTTATTGATTTTGGAGAATACCAACTTTCTGTCCTTGCTCTGTTTCACTGTGCTAAAGAAACATCTAACAAAACTTAAATCACGAGAGATAAAGCAAAACTTAGCACTAGTAAAAAGAGCTATCAAGCAATTAAAAACCAACAAAAGGGTCACAAATAATACCTGAAGTCTTCAGTAAAATTTCCAGCCTCACTAACATTATGGAAGTTCAGAGAGTACAGAATTCAAGACTGCACTTGTTTTAAATGACGTCTTCCTTTCTTTCTAGAACATGTCCCAAATCTGACAGTAACACAGCTTTGTATTGGTGTGCATGAAAAGTGACTGAAAAAAAAAAATTCTTTCTTGTAAAACAATTTATAAGTATTCTAAGAAATTAATATTTACTTGGAATACTCAAAATCTTCTCAACTAAGCTGATGAAAGTTGTCAAACATCAACCAAGATGAACTTCTAAAAAACAGGAACCATAGGAAACTAAAATAATATTTCAAACCCAGTAACTATTCAGTACTGTAAGTGCTTATATTTTATGTAGTGCAAACATGAAAAAAAGTATTAAACAAAACCAAGTGACTCAGTAGAGAGTGACAGACTGGCCAAATGTCTCTGCACATTCTACACCGAGAAGGGAGATTTCCAGGATATCACTTGAAAGTTGATTAGAAATGAGTTTGGGTCAACTGGACAGAGAATATGAGAGGTACTTCATAAAATATAAAGGACAAAAGAATGGAAACAATCGACAGAGAGCACATTCCAGGTATACAGAACTACCAAGAAAGCAGCACAGAGGTAATGAAAAGCCAGCTGGAAAGCACAGCTGAACAAAGTAGCAGGGAAGCAGGGCTGTATCTGGTTCTCAGAGATCTCATTTCAGTGCTAGAAACAAGCAGTAGATACAGAATGAGCAAGCATATACATAGGAACCTATCTCATAAATGTCTGTGTAGTATGCCGATCTTACTAACAAATATCTTGATATTAGCAGCAGATAAATAATAAATCTTTCAGTCTTAGCACAAGAAAGTAGTTTGCACATCATCTAAGAATAATGCCATCAGTGCCTTGACATTATTTGCCTCTATTTCTTTCCATCACATGCCAGAAGGCAAGAAATCTGTTACTTAATATCTGGTCAATTTTATGACATATACAAAAGTTGATTGACATCTGCTATAGGTGAGACATTGTTGACAACCAGATGCTAACTGCAGAAAAATGGAAGGAGAGCTACTGGGGATGGAGAGAAACTCAAATCTTTCAATCTCTTAACTAAGACAGATAGGCATCTATAAATTTCATAAATAATTGATAATGAAGAGCGTTAAGTAACCGGACAGATGCTTGGTGTTTTCAAATTTCCTGGATGTAGCAACAGTTCTTGTTTACACAAGATAAGTCTGGAAATTACAGTTTTTGCTACAGATACCTTTGACTTGGATATTTTCAGCATTACAATAAAATCCTCATTCAAACAAGGAGAGTCTCTTACAGTGCTTGCTAAAAAAGATGAAGCTGAGCAATTGTTTACTCCTTCCAGAAGGTGCTAAGGCCTCCATACATAACACCTGGAGTATTAGTGTCACTATAGTACACTGCAGCATCATGGCAGAGAGATAAAAAGTGGCAAGACACTATGATCACTCAGTACTAAAAAAACCTGACCACAGACAACAATGCACCCATGGTACTGTATCCAGGATACGTGGACAAAAATGTCAAGAAGGAAGAGGATGTTGGACTAGATGACCTCTACCAGTCCCTACCAACCTATTTGATTCTGTAATTTAGAAAAGCTTAGAGATCCCATTAAAAGTTAGGGATTTTTTTATCCATATAAGACAGATATTTCTTTAGAGACAAGCTTTAAGAATGCTGGTGTCACAAAATTTCTTTAAAAACAAAAGACTTTAGTCTTCCCAGAATTAAGAGCACTGAACATATGAAGATTTTATTTTCAGTATTCCTTAAGACAACATCTAAAATTTAGCAAGAGAAGCTATTATTCTGTCATCAAGCACAGCTTTATCATCATGAAAGCAGATAACTCCTTCAGACTTCATTAATTTTATTCAAAAAGAAAGAAAGGATCTGTCAGAAAGAAAAAGTTGACTGAAGAAATGTTCATTCTTCCTACAGATTTTTCACAAATTCACTAAGTCATCTGTGACCTGATTGGATGTACAGATAATAATAGCATCAAGGGAGAAGACAGACAACAATTGCCTCTACAGTACAAGGCCTCAAGAGGCATTTAGAGAACAATTTCCAGAAGCAGTTCTCTAAGCACTTTCTTCCACCTGTGGCTGCTCAATACATTATTGAGGTGACACACGAAAACACAAAAAATACATTTAGATGACACAACATGAATAATCTAGTATTATACAACTTATAAGTTGACATATTGTGTACTTTTCTATCCAACAGATCACTTAAACACACCTTAACTCATTAATAAGTGCAGACTAATAAAACTGATGCCAGGCAGGTGACTATATAGGTGAGCCTGGTATGAAGCTAGTTTAAATGTAACAGCGATCCTGATTTTTGCACAAATCCTTTCATCAGTTCCCATCCCAAAGCAGAGTGACCACTACATAAGCATTTAATGAATTATCAATATAGGCCCTTTGAGTTTTTGCAGCTTTTTAGGATTTAAAGCCAGAATTTCAAGAAGTTCCAAAAATCTCATCTTATAGAGCTAAGTATGAAACTGATACCAAAGTTCTCCATTTGCTGCATATTTCTGATTTGGCTACAGGAAGATGATACTGTGGAAGAATGAACAATGGTATGACAGGGCCCAGGCATACAAGACAACATAGAATACGCTTTTGGCATTCAGTAAGAAAAACATTCCTCCTGAATCCTTCTGAATGACCTAATTATGCCAGAAGATAAGGTGTTTCCAACTGGTGTGGAGGAGTGTCCTCCTTTGTTTATTCTCTTGTATATCCACAATTCTTAAGGATTTTTTTTCTCCTCTAGAATAGTATCTAATATTGATTGGCAAGATCATGATGTGGTTAATGGCCTGTAAATGAATCAAGTTATTACATCTCAATTAAAATGCTTCAATTTAAGAACTGCACTGGTATTACCAAACAAAGTATTTATTCCAGGATGTCAGCACTATTTCTAAGGTCTGAGGTTCCTCTTCTCCGAACTAGTAACATACATATTTTGTGGTATGCAATAGTACACCAGTACACCATGGCTTCCAAACACAGGATACCTTCTTTTATTTTGCTTTTCCTGCCTAGTGCATACAGTTGTTCTTCTTAAAACACAAAGTACAATACAAGCCAATATAAATATTGTACTAAGAACCAATAAATTAAGAATACTGTTAGCAACAGCAAACATGAAGCTCTCTGAATATACATATAAATCACCCTTTCAGAGATTCATTCCATATTCAACTTCTTTAGAAACTAAAAGAAGATCACATTAACCTGTTTATTATGTTTCACATTTTGAACAATTTTGTTTTGGTCTGAACTTGAAAGGCTTTTCTGAATTGTTCCTATTTGGAAAATGTACCTGTGAAAGAGCCTGCTAAATGTCAAAATGGAATAATTACATATTATGTATTATATAATTGCATAGCAATTATTTTGTTAGTCTAATCTATTAAGTAATTCTGTTACCTGTGCGTGTTTAAAAATCATAAATATTTCAAGTGACTTTTTATTAACTGATTACAGATATCCTTCTTTAAGATCATACCTGTTTAAACAAACCGATAAGAACATTCATATGAACAGTACTTAAAAGTCACTAACTACTACCTTAGATAGTTTCTTTTAAATACACATCTTGATGACAACGGGACTGGAATAGCAGTATCCTCAAGAATGCTAAACAAGAAGGTTGTTTTCAATGCAGAAAAATGTGCAATGAATTCCTCATTTGCTCTTAAATATTGATATAAAGTTGTGGTAATGCAGCACTCTTAAAAAACAGTGTTTAGGGTCGTGACCAGAAAAGTAGTTCAAAAATTCGCATGGCAGAGCTTGGTTTTGTTTCCATGTTTTTTCTGTTCTTAGAATGCCTTCATGTAGCAAAAAGTTCCCTGCTAGCCTAATTTAATGCTTTCATTTTTCTAATTATGCTGAAACATCAGTTAAGAGCCTACCTGATGTTTTGGAGAATTTGCTGTGCTGGGATTGATATTCCGCAATGCCTAAGAGTAAAAATAAGATGGATAAAAATTACTTTAGCTGCATGGTTTACCTATGCAGGCTGTCTTACAAACACCATCTTGTAGTATCAAGCCCCCAAGACAGGCCAGATGAGACAGGATAAGGGAGTTAAGAAACTATAAAAATCATGACACAGTGAAACAAAACTCATGGATTTACCAAGGATGAGTATTTGACAGATAAGCTTAACGACTACAGATAACATGAAGAAAACTGGCTGTCACCTGGTCCAAAGTTAGTCAGGTTCTCAATGACAACTGAGGCAAGAAGACAATTAGAAGGCCTACCTAGAAGCATGCTAGCGCAGGGTAAAATGTTTGTTGGTGGATTAATTGCAAAGCAGGAACAGCAGAAGCCCAGGTGCTTAAGCAGAGAGAAAGTCCTGATACCACCTTTGCAATGTATTCTTACCTAGAGTACTATAAAAAGTAACGGCTGTAAAGATGACCCATCTTACACCAAGAGATGCTGAAGATTCCTACAAAACAGGCCTTGACTACAAAAGGGATAACGGGAGTCAGATTCCAGGACAGAATACTGCAGGTGATGAAGAAAGAGAAAAGCTGTCTTTGAGGAGATTAAGATATTATCCTCTTCTGATACAAGGCCCATCACCCAAAGTGAAAAGGATAAGGTTTTAGAAGGTTTTCCTCAAAGAAAAGATTAGTGCTTTCTCTGTCAAAACCCCAAAGAATACCCTAAGTATCTAGCACAGATGGTAGCAACTCTTAAAACATTCAGATGGAAAAATCGAAGCAGAAGGCTTAGAGTCAAAAGGAGGTCAAGCTCGAATTCAAAATCCAGAGACTGCAAAGTCTAGTCCTACACTTTAACATCTGCTACAGCTATATTCATATAGTAGAAAAATACTGAAAGGAATAGCTTGTAGCCTAATTATGAAGTTTGAAGTTCTTCAGCATAAGAAAACCACAGGTTCAAAATGCAATAGTGATTCAGTTGTTCCATGCTCACTCCACTGTTGAACAGGCAAGATTTTGGCAACCAGGTGCCCCCCTTAATGTATCTTATATGAACTTCAAAAATACTTCAAAATACTGCAGACTACAACAGGTTCTAAAACTGAAGACTTTCTTCCACTTAAAAGGGAAAACCAAAGCAGCTGTGGGAACCAACTTTTTGCCCTTTACATGACTTGGAACTCAATGAATATGAAATATATCCTCAAGAGGAATATCCAATCACATCAACAGTCCATGTTGTCATCCCTTTTGGTTTATGAAACCTGTTCTCAGAGAGTTCTTTTAGAGGGAGGAATGAGGAAGGAAAGCAAAATCCTTCAGTCTGATAAGTCAGATACTTTCACTACCAAGCTGATATCAGTAAGAGCACAAATTCAGACCTTTCTAGATCTCAAAGCTTTTTGTACAGTCACAGGTCTTTAAGACTCACTGAAACAACAACTTAGCCAAATCAAAACAGAACATACAAAGAAATAGTGGAAGTAGGTGTCTAACCTGTGGCCTCACCTGCCGAAGCAGTTCTTGATGCTTCAGTCTCAGCCTTTCTTTCTCCATTTGTAGCTGCTGAAGTCTCATCTGTTGCTGCTGATTGGAGCTACTCCCACCCATCACACCACCCTGAGGACTCTGAGGAGCCAGAGGAGGTGGCTGTTTCACTGGAGCACTTTGGCTGATTCGCTGATTCATGGCTAAGGAACCAAAACAATAAACATTTAAAATGAAATTCAAACAAATACATGCAAGGAAAGTATTATCCATAAAAGGCATATAATAAAAAATTTATACGACAAGCCATGACAGTGCAAAATATGCAGTTACACTGATGTTCAAAGTGTGAAATGTATGCTCACATGTGCGAGCAATCAATGTGTGTAAAATTAACATAATAGTCTCCTGTTTAAGAATGCATACTTGTTCTAAAAGCTTCTGAAAACAGTTAAATATGTAAGCTGGTGAAAAATTCAAAAGTGGTAGTAAAATATTTCAAGTCGAATTACAAGGATCTCTCTTCTTCCAAATAAACTATTCTCACTTTAGACACAAATAGTATAAAATAACTTTTTTAATTCATGTGAAATCTTAGAATCATTAAACTTAAGAACACACAGAATGACAAAATGGATCATCCTACTTATACTGAACTACATCTCGTCAAAGGTTAATTTAACTGGAAGTTAAATTCTTCCCATTGCAGTGCAGGTCATGCAACAAGCATTCACATCCATGTCACATCAAGCTTTTAGTGTTAGACTCTATTTAGAGCTTCTTGACAGGCAAAATTAGAGCTGGTACAGAAATGGCAGATGAATTATACAGCCATAACTACTGACATCAACATAGGAAAGATTTTGCTTTATTTTCTTTTACCCCACAGCAGTACGCAATGCATCTTTTCTCGGGAGTGGAGAAGAAAAAGTGTCACTTCCTAGGCCTAATGGACAATGAGAACCCATCTTCCCCCATAAAATCAAGGTCTAAGACAATTTTATTTTATAAAATAATGCATGACTGGGATGCATCTACCTGACAGGCTGGATTTCTCCCTCATATGATACCAGTATGGTTAAAGTCAACAGAGGGACTGAAGTTCCCATAGTGAAACATAGGGCTGGGAAAGGCTGATTGTATTGCAAGGACAACATTTTCAAGGGCTTTCAGTTTTGGAATTAACTCTCCATTGTGTTGTCTGTAATAGCCTGAATCTGTTAACATTCACAATATGCTACAGAATGAAGCAGTGATAGGAGAATGGTAGAGGTTCATATTTTTTTCTGGGAATGAGGATTATAGTTTATGGAAACAGAAAAAAAAAAGGAGAGAGCTTCTTTTAGGATGACAGGGGATTTGAGGCAAAGAAAACCATCTGTTGAATTAGTTTGATTTAATGTTCTCATCATATAGAGGATTCCTGGAACACTAACACTTGTAACTGCCATAAGAAAGGAGAACTATCTCATAAAGAATCGGTACCATCTTTTCACTGAAAAGCCCTTCAGCCTCCATTGTCCATAAGCCTTGCTCCCTTTTTCCCTTGCCACAGGTCACCTTTCCATTGGGAGGTAATATCTGAAGAACAAATGCCATATACTAACTGGAGTGATAACAGAAAGTCAAAAAAAAAAGACTAAACCAGTTACAGACTCAACTCTTCAGTCTACCCTTTCAACTAATCCACTGGTCTAGCACAGAGTCAACAGTCTAATGCGCAGATGGCTCACATTTTCATGAGTCACGTCAAAATAAAATGGTGTCAAATAGCTTGAAGTAATTTGAAACAATATTTTATGCAGTTACTAGTGAGAGAGCTTCATACATATGATCACTAATAAGATAAAACTTTCTGTAAAGATAAGCGAACCAGTGAAGTAGGAATAGAAACCGAATTCCAATGCCAAGCAGAAACAACAAAAAGAATACCAAGGGCCAGAGGTTCAACTTCAACCCACAAGTCCCATCCTTATCCAGCATGGGAAAAAAATAGTGGGCAGATGACATTCCTGTGGATCAAAGCTTAAAATCAAGCAGTTGATGTGACAAGACACCCAGCATCACTTCCCCATCAGAACTGAACTTCAGGAAGAAGTTGACCAGGATCAGCTAATTAACCAGATTTCCTATACAAGCCGTGGTCTCTAAGGCAGCAACAGGAAGACTGGCCCCAAGACACTGGAAAATGTTAAGCAGAAGTTCAAACACTGCCCTGTGGGCAGTGAACTTTTAATTACATGCTCCTGGATCTCCACTGCGCAGTGTTTGCTGGAAGACTGACAGCAATTAGACTACCTACAGTTACCAAATTAGGGTAAAGTTGAAGCTAGAGAAAGCAATGCAAAAAGAAACGCAGCCCATCTAGCAGCTCTAGACAAGCTAGACATGACATTGCTGGAATGGAGAACATATCTCCTTCTTTCTCTCTTTTCAAGTCTGGAACCAGGACCATGCCTTTTGCTTTATATATCTTACAGTTCACAGCCAAGGCATATTACAGATAACCTCATAAAAATTTAACAGTGTCTAACCTTAGTTAAACACTTAAGTGCAGTATCAGTAACATTCCTTCAATACGTTACGATTTTGTTTTTCCTGAATGCACCATACAAGTATTATTTCCCTAGGTCTCTTTTCCACTAATAGGTAGTTTTGTAAATAATTTCCTGCTCATGCCAAATGCTTCATATTTTATATAAGTGTATCTTTCTGACAGCTGCTTGTATTATTCCTGTTCTCTCTGACCATTGTTTGCTCCATTCTTCTCATCTACTGACTTCACAACAAAAACTGTAAGAAAGAAATCATGTTTCTCTGATATTTTTCATTTTAATCCCTCATCCTAGATCCCCAAAATGCCTTCTAATGTCTATTTTTAAAGTAATTTTGTAACTGAAAGCATATCTAAAACTGGAATATCATAAGATACTGAGACTTTGGTGTGTACTTAATATTCATCAATAAATATTAGAGGAAAACTTAATGAGATGATTTGGCAACTCTTCAGAAACTGAACCTAAAACTCCAGTTTCTAAATTATTATTGATCAGGTCTCTATTAAAAGGATGTTTCTGAACATTTTATTATTTCAAGAATGAAAATGCGAAAACTTTAAACTGTCCTCAGAACAGATCATGGAGATGTTTTTTATATGAGTGAACTATTTTTAACGCCGAATATAAACTAAAAGTCAGGATATTAAAAGAAGATGCAGCTAATTGAATTTCATTGACTTAACATATCCAAGTGAAGAACCAGTGACCAAAAACCCAGCAGTAATAACACTCAGTGATTTTCAGCCACCTTGGTGATAACAAGAATGTAATTTTTATCATTTCCAACACAATACTTAATGAAAAGAGAGGAAACATATCTTGTTTCAATGACAGTGAAAAAAGAGGGGTTTAAAGCTTTTTGTTGTTGCTTTGGAGTTGGGTTTTTTTTGTTTGTTTGTTTGTTTTGTGGGTGGTTTGTTTTTTTTTTTTACATTCTCAATTCTCCATTACTTACCATGGATGTAACTGCAGAGATCTGCACTCTAAAGAACATGCTTATCAATGTGATCTCAGATAAGGACATTTTATTTTTTCCATATCTCATGGGTCTCTGATGATGCTGACACGCACAGCTCTTTTGAAGTACTTTGAATTCAAAGGTAAAGAGCTTCATTTTATCTATTAGCTAGGACTTACCAGTTTTCTAATGCATCCTGTTCCTTAAGTTCCATGGCTATGGAAAGCATTTAAATAAGGGGCTCTGCACCCACACAGCGGAGGCTGCAAAAGACCTCACAGGCAGAGCAGGAACAAACAAGTCTTTCTTTCTAGAAGAGGGGGATTTGAGGGAGGAGGGGCAGACAAGTTAAAAAACATAGGCAACTTAAGACAATAAAAAAGATCTTGTAGTCCTATGATATGGCTTAGTTTCACAATCTGCAGGATATAGTATGCTTTCAAGAACAGAAAATAAGTGGTCTTCAAATGCTACACATTAAATGTTCTACTGTCCAAACTCAACAGCAAAAGTGCCTCTTCTGTACTGCAGCAGATAATACCTGACAGTTATTGAAAACAAGTTTAGACTGCTAAATGATAAAGACTAAATGAAAAATAAAAAAGAAAGAACCAAAAATACCCAAAAACCAAAACCAAGAGGGAGAAACTATTACCAGGCATTGGTGCTAGAGAAAAAAGGTCAGCAGCTTGTTAACAACTGAAACATAAAAGGCTAATTCTCTCTCAAGATTCTACATCAACTGAAAATCGCAAGTCCCAGGGCTGTGACAGCTTGCAGTAACACTTCTTTTCCCTATGGAGAATCCCATGCAGAGATTGCACCCTTAATGATTAACAGGCACAGTTGAATGTTTGATTTTTTTTTCTTTAGTTATAATTTCACCCTTCAAAGCTAAACCTAATTTTAATCTGCAAAAATTAAAGACATTATTTAGTTGAACAAACAACAACAAAAAAGCTCAGAATTTGAGCATACTATAACTGGCTGTCCTTAGTATTAAGAATCAATGTTTTCATTGGGGGAACTAAAAAAGAGAACTTGTCCACTTCAGCTTCATTTAGAAACCAGATACCATTTTTGTCATTGTGCATAATTTTTGGCTATGGTCAGGGTTTTACATGGTGCTAGTTTGCAACTACAACAAAGGCAAAAAATTCTCTTTGATTACATTTAAAAGAGTTGTGAAGAAAAAAAATTACCAGCAGGATTTGAAAGAGTGAGCCTCAGAAGTAATAAAAACATGTTCCAAGTGACTTTTTAAGAGAGGCTTGGTACAACAATGTTTCTGTGCCTATCGCGTATTGGCCTCTATAGCCACCAGCGTGCTTGCAATAAATGTGGGTAGAACCCTCTCCAAATCTTCGTTCGCGAAACCTAGCCATGATGATGATGAAGTAATGTTTCTGGATTGCATTCTCTATAATGCATTGTATATTACTTTAAAGAAATCCCAGTTGCAGTTTCATAATGCCGCTGTTATAAACCAACCTAAAAATTAGCACAATAAAATATTCCATTGCTTTCAGTCTCTGATTAATCTTAGAATCCTGGAGCTTAGACTATGGGGGAAACCTGAAATGGATTCTGGGCTCATTTTCCTCTCTTAAGTGTACAAACAAATCTTAGTGTCTTAGTCAGGTAAAAAGAAATATTCACAGATTCCTGATGTGAATTTTGGTTAAAA